AAAGAGTTAAACCGAGGTTGAACTATTATTACGTTGATCATATGTCTAAAGGGTTTCCTAGGTTACATCGCGTCGAATGATAAATGCGTCAATACAAGTGTTTGTTAGTATATCTGTTCGTCGAATATTTCATATTCAGAATTATTATCCCAGTGTTTTAATTAAGTATTAACGGTACGTTGTGTAAATCTATATTCATGCATATTGTAATTGGTTGAGTTCGATTGGGCAATCACACCAAACTTGTTGAACAATGTTCAAAATATATTTATATGTTTATAATGGGATGAATTTAATTTAAAAAAATAAATTAATGAAATATTTATTAAAAACATTTACAGCAGCATCTATTTGTATTCATTTACTAAAATAAACACACATGCAAGAATCATTCTATAAATTCTATAAATAGATAACACTGTTACGATTCACTTTATATGAACCACGGTTGTAATTAAATCCGTCCGGGTAAACGTCATTCTTTATTGGCATGCATATTTCACTATTTCACAAATTATTTTATTTTTATCATTACCATAAACGGAAAATCAACAATATTATCATACAAATAAATCGGTTACAACACCTCTTATTTTGTATCAATTAACCTTAATTACCTTTGTCACGATCACGAGGTGTTAAAAACATGTGTCGCCGACTGTCATGTATTTAGGACATACTGACTTGTCTTTTTGTGTTCGACCGAAAAGGTGTGATTTTCTCTATATTTCTGCCGAAGGGACCAAAGATCAGGTTCGAGAGTTCGAGCGATCGGTGTTCGAGCGATCCGAGGTAGAACAATATATATTATATAGGAATTTTGCCGGGACTGGGCGATGAGTTCGAGGGAAGGGAGGTATTCGAGCGATCCGAGTTCGAGCGAACGAAGTTTAACTGTATATACATATAAGATAAACCTATGGGTCCCAAGGGCAGGGCTAATTTTGACACAAGAGGCAAAATTTGAACAACTTTGGTAGAGTACCTTTAGATGATTTATTTAACAAATATTAAACCTTGTACCTTCAGACAATAAGATTTTTTTATTTTTTACTATATGTATATATTGAAATCAATGACCAGGGCAGGGGCAATTTTGACCCCAGGGCTATAATTTGAACAATCTTCCTAGAGGTTTACAATACAATGTTTTATGCAAAATATCTAACCTCTAGCATTTGTCAATTGCTAGAAGAATTTTTTTTAAGTTTTTACTATATACAAATAAGGAAAACCAATGACCACTGGGGCAGGGCTGATTTTGACCCAAGGGCTATAATTTGAACAATCTGGGTAGAGGTCTACCAGATAATGCCTTATGCAAAATATCTAAGCTCTAGGCCTTTTGGGTCTTTACAAGAAGGTGTTTTAAGTTTTTACTATATGTACATATAGCGAAAATCAATGACCCCGGGGTGGGGCCGATTTTGACCCAAGGGCTATAATTTGAACAATCTTGGTAAGGGTCTACCAGATGATGCCTTATGCAAAATATCTAAGCTCTAGGCCTTTTGGGTTTTTACAAGAAGGTATTTTAAGTTTTTACTACATGTACATAGTGAAAATCAATGACCCCCGGGGCGGGGCCAATTTTGACCCCAGGGCTATAATTTGAACAATCTTGTTAGAGGTCTACCAGACAATGCCTTATGCAAAATATCTAAGCCTTAGGCCTTTTGGGTCTTTACAAGAAGATTTTTTAAATTTATTCTTATAATTCCTTTTGGTTGCCATGGCAACCAGATTTCTGCATGGAATGAAATTCTTTGAACAACTTTTGAAGCCCTTCACCCAAGAAACAATCCTGCCAAGTTTGGTTGAAATTGGACTAGTGGTATTTCACAAGAAGATTTTTTAAGTTCACTATATAATCTATATAACACACACACAAACACACGCATACACACAGGTGAATCACTATATGCCACCGCATCGCAGATGCTGCGGTTATGCCACCGCATAGCAGATGCTGCGGTGGCATAAAAATTACAGTCATATGCAGATAATTCAAGAAAAAGGCTAGTGACCCCAAATCTATCTTCCCTTAAAACGTTTTGTTATCATATTCTAAAAATGAACTCTGTTCTTTAGTTTTAATTTTGCTTAGCTCATGCCTTTGGTTTAAAAATATTTTTATTCAAAATATATACACATGCTAATAATTTGCAATTTAAAGTAGAAAGGAATTGGACCGAGAGCTACAATAGCTCATGGTAGTCCTCTCCTATAGCATATACTAAAGTGATCAATATAATAAATAAGGTACAATAATATAATAATAAAAGCATGAACCAGGTAACATCGTATAAAAGGGATTTACCATCTGATTTGACTTCCACCTTCACATCTTGCTTATTGTCAGCTGACTTGTCAAATGTAGGGGTATTTGACCTTGACCCGCCTTTCTTCTTCTACAGAAAAAAAAATCAAATAATATTTCCATCAGTATCAATGTTAAAATTCCAGAGCACTGCAAATCTTAAAGAAATAAAATTTGAAATTTCTAATATCAAACAAACTGTGGCCTATAACAGATAATTAACCCACATGCACAATCCAGGTGCACAACTAGACATGCTGAGCAACATTCCTGTAAAGTTTCATGACTCTAGGTAAAATAGTTTTAGAGTTACGTGCAACATAAATAAAGAACAGACGGATGGACGTACGGGACGACAAGGGTAAATCTAAATATACAAACTATAATAAGAAATGCACTCAAAAATAAAACCTTAAATTGATTTTCATGCTATTCTGGTCTTAGCCTGATTTCAGTTAAAGGCACTGAAATGCTTTATGTTTTGGGTCATATTAAAATTTATTATTCCTGAAAAAAACAAAGAAGCAAATGATCTGAAATTTTGCACTCAAGTTATTGGTCCAGACCTTCATCAAATGGTAAACTTTAAACAAGAGGGCCATGATGGCCCTGAGGTCGCTCACCTGTATATAGGTCCCCCAACGTTGCAGGGCCAATTTAACCCAAGGGCTTTTATTTGCACAAACTCGGTAGACACCCATAAGAAGATGTTTCATGCTAAACATCTAAGCTCTAGCTCATTGGGCTTTTTGAAAGAAGATTTTTTTAAAGTTTTTACTATACACATATAGTTAAAAACAATGACACCCCTGGGGCCGGGCCAGTTTTGACCCCAGGGCTTTTATTTGAACAAACTTTGTAGACACTTACTAGAAGATGTTTCATGCTTAATATCTAAACTCTAGCTATTTGGGTTTTTTCAAAGAAGATTTTTAAGTTTTTGCTATACACATATAAAGAAAATCAATGACCCCTGGGGCGGGGCCAATTTTGACCCCAGGTCTTTTATTTGAACAAACTTTGTAGACTATGACTCACTAAAAGATGTTTCATGCTTAATATCTTAACTCTAGCTATTTGGGTTTTTTCAAAGAAGATTTTTTAAGTTTTTGCTTTACATATATAAGGAAAATCAATGACCCCCAGGGCTGTGCAAATTTTGACCCCAGGGCTTTTATTTGAACAAACTTGGTAGACACCTATTAGAATATGTTTGATGCTAAATATCTTAGCCATAGCTCATTGAGTTTTTTTTTTTAAAAGAATTTTTTTTAAGTTTTTACTATATGCATATAGGAAAAATCAATGACCCCCTGGGGTGGGGCCAATTTTGACCCCAGGGCTTTTATTTGAACAAACTTGGTAGACACCTATTAGAACATGTTTGATGCTCAATATCTAAGCTCTAGCTTTTACAGTTCTTTAAAAGAAGATTTTTTAAGTTTTTACTATATGCATATAGGGAAAATCAATGACCCCCCGGGGCGGGGCTAATTTTGACCCCAGGACTTTTATTTGAACAAACTTGGTAGACACCCATTAGAACATGTTTCATGCTAAATATCTTAGCTGTAGCTCTTTTGGTTCTTTAAAAGAAGATTTCTTAAGTTTTTACTTTATGCATATAGGAAAAATCAATGACCCCCCGGGGTGGGGCCAATTTTGACCCCAGGGCTTTTATTTGAACAAACTTGGTAGACACTTATTAGAACATGTTTCATGCTAAAAATCTTAGCTCTAGCTCTTTTGGTTCTTTAAAAGAAGATTTTTAAGTTTTTACTATATGCATATTGGGAAAATCAATGACCCCCGGGGCAGGGCCAATTTTGTCCCCAGGGCTTTCATTTGAAGAAACTTGGTAGACACCCATTAGAACATGTTTCATGCTAAATATCTTAGCTCTAGCTCTTTTGGTTCTTTAAAAGAAGATTTTTTAAGTTTTTACTATATGTATATTGGGAAAATCAATGACCCCCCGGGGCGGGGCCAATTTTGACCCCAGGGCTTTTATTTGAAAAAACTTGGTAGACACTCACTAGAAGATGTTTCATGCCAAATATCTATGCTCTAGCTCTTATGGTTTTTTAAAAGAAGATTTTTTAAGTTTTTACTATATGCATATAGGGAAAATCAATGACCCCCCGGGGCGGGGCCAATTTTGACCCAAGGGCTTTTATTTGAACAAACTTGGTAGACACTTACTAGAACATGTTTCATGCTAAATATCTTAGCTTTAACTCTTTTGGTTCTTTAAAAGAAGATTTTTTAAGTTTTTACTATATGCAATAGGGAAAATCAATGACCCCCTGGGGCGGGGCCAATTTTGACCCCAGGGCTTTTATTTAAACAAACTTGGTAGACACCTATTAGAAGATGTTTGATGCTAAATATCTTAGCCATAGCTCTTTGAGTTCTTTAAAAGTAGATTTTTTTAGTTTTTACTATATGCATATAGGGAAAATCAATGACCCCCCGGGGCGGGGCCAATTTTGACCCCAGGGCTTTTATTTGAACAAACTTGGTAGACACCCATTAGAACATGTTTCATGCTAAATATCTTAGCTCTAGCTCTTTTGGTTCTTTAAAAGAAGATTTTTTAAGTTTTTACTATATGTATATAGGGAAAATCAATGACCCCCCGGGGCGGGCCAATTTTGACCCCAGGGCTTTTATTTGAACAAACTTGGTAGACACTCACTAGAAGATGTTTCATGCCAAATATCTAAGCTCTAGCTCTTATGGTTTTTTAAAAGAAGATATTTTAAGTTTTTTCTTTCGGTTGCCATGGCAACCAGAGTTCTGCATGGAATTAAATTCTTTGAACAATTTTTAAAGGTGACCACCAAAGGAACATTCCTGTGAAGTTTGAATGAAATTGGCTTATGAGGAGATGTCATTTAAAGTAAAAGTTTACGGACGGACGGACGGACGGACGGACGACGGACGGACGCCGGACGAAAAGCGATCACAAAAGCTCACCCTGTCACTTTGTGACAGGTGAGCTAAAAAATACAGGCCTGTTATGCCAAAACAACTTTAATAATAATAACTGTATATTAAAATTACCATCTTCTTTTATTCATTAGACACAGAATAAAACATATACATACCTGCATAAAGAGAACTGAAAATTTGTCTTCATTTTTTTCTATATCAGAATCTTCACTGTCAGAGGAAGAGCTACTACTGTCACTGTCATCTCCTCCTAAAAATACATGTATAAACACAACACTGACTATAACTTTACAGCCATAATCTGACTCTAGAATATGATCAACAAAAAGTTACTCATTGGCTAATTGCCTGAACCATCTTTTTGATTCTGTAGCGCTTTTTGGCAAGTGGTGCAGTAACAGTAATTCAGTATGTTGTATGGAAATCAAAATACCTCTTTGTTTACATTATGCTACTTTTATGACAAACAATTTTGCATTTAGTGCTACTTTCTTCAAGATATAAGCATCTAAGATGCTCTAATACAGTTACTGAAACATTCTTAAATTCATCTTTGCCTTTTCTAAAGAAGGAAAAAGGAAATATTTATTTATTTCTTATGTATAATGTGCCTTTAAAAACAAAAGTCCTTGATACATATAAGTAATGATTCAAATTTCATTACTTACCCTTTCCATCTTTATTTTTATCCTTCTTTTCTTTCTTAACCTTTTTCTCCTTCTTGACTCCACTTCCCTCGCCTTCGCCCTCATCTGACTCTCCTTCATCATTTTCCTCCTCATCTTTATTTTCCTCCTCCTCGTCACTACTCTCCTCATCTGATCCAATCAGTTTCTTCAACCCTCGCTCCTGATCTACACCTTGAGTGTCATACTTGGCATCTTTATCCTTCTCGTCCATAGACGATTCACTGAAATATTGCATTTACTGTATATATACAAGTACACTTTAATTTTACATCCTTTGATACAGGTGGGGGAAATAAGATTTTAATGACATTTACAACGTTAAAAGAGCTGAACTAATTTATGACAAAGTAGTACTAGATGTAACTCGTTCAAATGACTACATAATTTTATATTTCATAATAACTTATCTCAAAGGTTAAGTTAACCATAAATACTAGTACATATTTATACTTACAGAACTTTCAAAATTTTTCATTCATTTGTGAACACTTTATCAGTACAAGACCAACCTAAGTGGATGAGTGGTTAAAGCATTGAAAAAGAAATCTAAGGATCAAGAGCAAAAAACTTTACAGTCATTGCTTAGTACTGCTTTGTTCCAGGAACAGATTCGAGAGTGTTTCAATAAACTTATAGCTTCCAACACAATCAAACTAAAATAAATAAGTATAAACAAACCTGCCAGAATCTGAGATATAATCCAGTTCCCTGTCATCAAAATCTCCCTCATCACTTTCCTCCACAGCTTCATCATTATCATTATGTTTGGATACTTTCCTGCTTTTATTCTTCGTTGGTTTCTTTTCTTTCTTCTTTGGCTTTTTCTCTAAATATTAAAATGCATGGACAGGTTTATATTCCTTAAAAAAACAAAAAAACAACAACAAGAAATGTGTCCTTAGGACACTTTTGCCCCAACTTCACTTGCAGTCTTAATAAAAGAACATGTATAAATTTCATAAATTTTATTACTGAGGAAATAAGTATTCATGCTTTGAACTTATGACCTTAAAATCAATGAGTGTCTCCTTACAGGCCATAGGCAATCACCTTAAAAAGTTTCATAAACTTACCTTTATTTCTCCACAAGTTAATAATAATATAAAAATATAACAGTGTCACCATGACTTTGACCTTCCATCCAATGACCTCAAAATCAATAGATAGCAACTACTAACCATTGGCAATGTCTAAATACAGTTTAAATGACTTAGCTTCATACTTGATTAATAGGCGTGAACTTTACACACCATGTTACTATGTTCTTGACTTACAACTGTAAGCCAAAGCATCATCTAATTATTGGGCTAAGCTTTCAGTGATCAAGGCCAAGGTGACCTTAACCTTCAAGCTATGACCACAAAATAACTGATAGCTGTCATCTACTGGCCAAGAGCAACCTCCAAACCAAATCTAAGGACTGTAGGCCAAAGTGTTCTCTTGTTACTTGTTGAACAAACTTGTTCAGATCAAAGGCCAAGATGACCTTGACCTTTGACCTAAAAGTTCATAGCAGTCATCTTCTGGTCATTAACAACTTCCACATCAAAATCTTATGACTGTAAACTTTTTGTGGTCAAGGCCAACGTGGACTTCATTCTTAATAATAGCTCTGTAATAATGCATTTTTCAACATTACTGTAAAATCATTATTATTCGTGGGGCACGAATTTTCGTGGTTTTCGTGGGTAGGTCAATCCACGAATTTTATGGTCCGACGAAATTTTATCCCAACGATTACTTCTAACCATGTCTCTATTCTATAGATATGCGTCGCCGCTTTTCGGCCGATTATTGTGTTATGAATGTAGACAGATAATTAAGTTAGTGACAGATTAAATCTATAAATAGTTAAGGTTTGCAATATTTAAGAAATTTGAAAGCAAAGTCGATTATATGTCCTGAATTTCGGTCGTATATACACATCACTGAGACTGCTAAATTGTTGTAGGCTACTTCAAATTGTGTTATATAATCGAGTAAAAATGGGAAACCAGTGCAATAATTAGCGCTAATATAAATTGTCACTTTGCTCTTTTAATTGTTAATAGAATTAAAGAAATCCTTGATTATATTAATGTCGTAAGTTAAGTACACTCAAACAAATAAACAATCACTAAAACAGATGAATTGTACATCCTTTTGTCGTTTTTAAATGATCCAGTTTAAATGAATTTTAATCTGTATTTGTGCGATTTCTATTCCGTAAACATCAAAGACGCTGCCGACTTCTTAATATATCCGCACAATCTTGTATTATTTACTCATATTAGTTGATATGCATGTAAATTTACACAGTCAATGTTGTGTTGCGTGTAGTTACTGTCCAATATAGTAAGACCCATTCAGGATGTAAACTTTTAAACTCGCTGGTTAAAACGTGTCAGGTGTCGTATAAATTATGCAATGTTTACATCGGCGAATCACAGGGGCAGTGTGTACAAAGGAGCTGCATATCATGTCATCTAGATGTGTTAATTGCAGTCAATTATCGGCAGTAACTGCTATCTTTATGTTATGCCTAGAGGCAAGGATTAGATTATTGACAGCTGTGTGATACGTAAATATATGTTCATGCGGTAAGTCAAAAGGCGCGGCGATTAATTGTAAGATTACTTTTCATTAGTTTTTTTTTCAACAAGAAAATGAAAATCCACGAATTTAAAAACCCATGAAAAGGCCCGTTTTGATAAAACCACGAAATTTCATGCCCACGAATATAAGTGAATTCGCAGTATTCAATATTTCAGGAAAAAAATAAATTAAACAAGCATTTGATAGTATTGCGGGCAATACAGTAGTCCCCTACCGGTCCCTCAAAAAGTTCTTTAATTGTCATACACTCCTGTGTATTGCCATTTATAATGAATTTGAGGATGAAGTCTGTATTTGAAAATATCAACCACAAAACATAATAAAATAAGTTTGTCTATATCACAGTAATGTGTTAAGTTTCCATGCTTAGTAAGAAAATTATGTTTATACAACCTTGTCATATTATTACGATGTGGGATTTTAAAGTAAATCCTATAAGGAATGAAGAAGTTGGAGTGAAAATACCAGTTTCTCGAAAAAAATCTAAGTTAAAGGGGGACATAATTCTGGAAATAGTCTTGCTAGAGTATTTAACCTTCTCAAAAATGTCGAGTGATAATAAGAAACATATATATGAAGTTTGAAGTAGATACATTAGGAAATAAAGAAGTTATTTAAAAAAGACAACATTTTTTCCCCTAAAAAATCTAAGTTCAAGGGAGGTAATACTGATATTTTTTGTGCTAGAGTTATAAACCTTGTCACATATGATGTGGTTGATGACCAGAAACTTATATTTAAAGTTTGAAGTAAACACCTTAAGAAATAAAGAACATATAGTGAAAAAGCTGAAAAATTTAAATCAGAAATCTTGAAATTCAGGCTATTTGTTGCCATAGCAACCAGAATTTTCAACATAGGAAGAAAAGAAAAAGATGTGCATAATCTCCAGACTGCCATCTACCCATATTTCAAGTTTCATAAAAATATTTTCAGTACTTTTTGAGTTATCACTGGATCCAGTTTATGTGTTAAATTTGCCATATTTTCAGACTATTTGTTAATATTTAAAAAAAATCTAAGTTAAAGGGGGACATAATTCTGGAAATAGTCTTGCTAGAGTATTTAACCTTCTCAAAAATGTCGAGTGATAATAAGAAACATATATATGAAGTTTGAAGTAGATACATTAGGAAATAAAGAAGTTATTTAAAAAAGACAACATTTTTTCCCCTAAAAAATCTAAGTTCAAGGGAGGTAATACTGATATTTTTTGTGCTAGAGTTATAAACCTTGTCACATATGATGTGGTTGATGACCAGAAACTTATATTTAAAGTTTGAAGTAAACACCTTAAGAAATAAAGAACATATAGTGAAAAAGCTGAAAAATTTAAATCAGAAATCTTGAAATTCAGGCTATTTGTTGCCATAGCAACCAGAATTTTCAACATAGGAAGAAAAGAAAAAGATGTGCATAATCTCCAGACTGCCATCTACCCATATTTCAAGTTTCATAAAAAATATTTTCAGTACTTTTTGAGTTATCACTGGATCCAGTTTATGTGTTAAATTTGCCATATTTTCAGACTATTTGTTGCCATAGCAACCAGAATTTTCAACATAGGAAGAAAAAAAAAAGACGTGCATAATCTCCATACTGCCATCTATCCATATATCAAGTTTCATAAAAATATTTTCAGTACTTTTTGCGTTATCGCGGGATCCAGTTTTGTGGACGGACGGACGGACGGACTGACGGACTGACAGACTGACAGACAGACAGACAGACGGACAGACAGACGGACAGACGGACAGACAGACGGAGGGTAAACCTAAAGTCCCCTCCGGTTAAACCGGTAGGGGACTAATAAATATAAAAGATCAGTAAATACTAACCTCCATCCTCATCTTCATCATCATCATCGTCATCATCTTCATCATCACTTAAACCCCAGTCTTCCATGTCTGTCAATATCTGTAACAATAAGTAGAAACATATTAACAGTTACCCCTTAACCAGGTGAATTAATGTAATTTTTCCTCTGCTTTATAACTGAAACAGTTCGTTCAAATTTTAAGGGAATTCAATATCAAAATACAAAAACCGAGTTATTGACTTAAACTGCATAGAAGCCCAGACTGGTCTGACTCTGTACTGGAGGAATTGGCTAATCACTTTTTGTTACAGTCTGTTAAAGCTCAATCAAAACTTTTCAAGTTTTTATTTTAAACTAAAGAAATACAATATTCAGATACCATATTTCACACTTTGTATAGCTAGACTCATTATGCAATAGATGTGTATTGATATTCATACACTTATTCATTAGATAGATAATTTTTCTCATTTTGCTCAGATTTTCTTTACAAAATAAAACAATCATCTCCAGAAACAATGAGAAAAACCACAACTACGCTATATTTCCCACATGTATAATTTACTGATAATGGTAACTGATTATTCCTTACTTATATTAGATCAAGCAAAATAAGAATAAGCTGTGTGAGCAGTTTAGTCAATCTGGCTGATGTCATAAGTACACATACATGTAGTACATGCATAATAACTCAAGTTAAGATAAAACCGAAAATCATAAGGCTCAGAGACATGCAATTTTTTAAGTTCTTATTATGTTTTATTTATGATGTACACTAATCAAGCACTTGCACTGTGATACAAGACATGATATGCTAATGAACCATATTAGATAAACTAAGAAACAAACATTATACATGTACAATTGTACATGTATCAGAAAGCTGACAAAAATAACGCAGGTTTGTCCATTATGTAAGAAGATATTGGACTTACAAGACTTTTGTCTTTCTTTTTCTTGACTTTTTTCTCGTCACCATCAGGATCAACAATGTCTTCGTCTTTCTTTATCCTCTTCATGATAGAGAACATGTTCATTCTCTTGTCTCTCCTGTAACATATACAACATAGGAATATGTGAAATACAAACTTGTAATCATCATTTACCCGTAGCATGCTCATGTTCTTAAAATGGACTTATCTAGCTTCCATATTTGATACTGTCTTCTGTTATTTTTCACCTAATATAACAAAGGCCTACTATTAAACGCCTTTTCCCAATGGAAATTTTCTTTAAAATCATGAACTTTACCAAAAAAATTGAACTTGCCCAGGTTTTTTTACTTCCCAAGTTAGCATATTTAGCAATAAAGTCTTCCCAAAATCAAGAGGCTTAATAATAAAATTTGAGGATATCAAGGTGGAAATTAAAAGTTGGTGCTGGCTCAACAAATGCAGAGGAGAGGCAAAAATCAATTGTCCGTATTGCCCAGGTTGTCCCACAGCCTGTACAGACAACTGAAAATTTTCAAGAATTTACTATAAAAGTGTCAGACAAGTAAGTCAGAATCAGATTTTGCTGGCCCTCTGTATGGCAAATCCCAAAGGGCATTTTGTAGTTTTTGTGAAATAACATTTGGGTCAGATTTTTTTTTGTACTGTGTTGGCACTTTTACTTGCAAAATTTTACAAACTGCCAAATTAGACCTAAACTTTATTTTACTGTTAAAATAAATAAATGAAATGAAATAACAGAAAATGTACATCCTTAAAAAGAATGGGAAAAAATGGTTGAATTGTCAGATATTAATAAAATATTTGAGTTTAATATTTAAACTTCATACACACTGTCAGATTCATATATCTAACATACTTGAAAAAATACCTGTACATAATAAGTTTACCGGTACTTCAATTTGCATTAAAATAATTATTTTTCATTCACGAATGTCCTTACACATCTCAAATTAAACAATGAAAACACAGTTACTTCAGAAATTCTTCCTCGGCCTCTTCAGAGTTGAGATATTTATATTGAACAACTGGCTGGAAGTTGTACCATTCATCTATAGGAAATGCATCAAATGCACCATCCGGACTTTGTGTAAATATATAATATGATGTATTTTGAGTAATTGTACCTTCACGCACACCTTTATATCTGAAATAATTTTAATGCTATGTCAATTAACAAATTATTCTTTTTATGTTATCAAGCAAATAGCAATCATTTTAAGGACAATGGTAAAAATACAATTGTGTTCACCTCAATATTTTCATATATTATAAAATAAGTCAATTAAGCTTAGATCTATACAGGTTTTTTGAAGAAATGATATCAATCTATTTGAATCTAATGTAAGATTTTCTTATTCAAGTAACATCTACAATAGAAAATGTCTAATGACGCAGTTTTATGTAGGTCAGCAGAAAGAAAAAGGTCCAATTGGCCCCATAATGATATAAAATGGCGGCATGGCCGAGTGGTTAACACATCGGACTAGTAATCTAATGATCGCTAGCCGCAAGGGTTCAAACCCTGTCAGGGGCAAGTCACTGTTTCCTTCAGCAACACACTTTATACTCATTGCTCAGTAGTGGTTGGTTCCAGGAATGGATTCGAAAGTGTGTCTAGAAGCTTATAGCTTCCTACACAATCGAACTTAAATAAATTCTGTATAAAACCAATGATATATATATATGATGTCTCAAAAACTTTTTACTTCTGCTGACCTTTAACAGTTTCTGAAAAGATACTCATTGGCCAATGTATTTTTACTTCTTGGCAATTAGTACAGTTAAAGTGACTAGGTTTTTTGTGTGGAAGTCAAAATATTGTTTTTGTTTGTTTATGTTTTGCTTCTTTTATGACAAATAATTTCACATTCAGCGCTACTTATCATTCAAGTGGGACAAATCTTTTATGCTTGTTTAAAGTCATAATTTTATTAAAAAGCATATTTTGCCTTTACTTAAGAAGAAGGAATATTTTTCTTTTTTTAAGGCTTAATGTGTTTTTAACTTTTTAATAATTCTAATAAAGAAAACAGATCTGCTCTCTCTAAAATGTTTCAGCTATGATGTAATGAGGAAGTTTATAAAAATGGGTCTTCATTGTATATAAATTCACTTTACTTTACTTTCAACACAAGGTATGTACAAAAATAACCAAAAATGCTATTTTTAAATATTTTGGATAAAAAATGTCCAGATTTTACCTAACGTTAAAAGTAACATGATATAATTATAATAATCTGTATCAGCTACTGTCCTGTACTTAGTTATAATAAAATGCAACTACAACACTGTAATATTATAATATTAAATAAGTTAAGTACTTCTTGGCATCTTTGCCTTTACCAACTTCATCAGCCATGGTTTGATCATCAGGTTGTATTTCTTTATATTTATGCCAAAACTTTTTCCTTCTAGCCTCTTCTTTTTGCTCCCTTCCATACTCGCTCCCAGCACCAAATTTTGGCATCATATCTAGATTATGAGCAGTTTTGTATTCCCTCAGATTATTCTCCCTTTCCATTCTGACAGTTGTCTAAAAATATTTCATATAAAATGAAAATATTGAAAGGTTCTTTTAAGCTGCATGATTGTATGTATTAAGAATCAATTTTTGGATTTTATGGTTTGTTTAAGTAGCCCTTTCTTTCTTAAAGTTCACCATCTCTTTATCTTATAATGATTTACAAACCTTCTATACTTTATTAAAATGTAATTCTTATTGTTATTTTTATCAAACTTTTTATTAATTTAAAACAATACAAACGTCTAAATAAGATACCTTTATCTATGATGAACAGAAATTTAATCAGGTTTTTATTTTTATAACATACGTTTGTTAGTTTAAGGAAGTCAACCTCTGTTCCAGTAGAAAACTTGATCATACTGTATTTCTTTGATGTATTGTTTGACACTCTAACAACAAACTCCTGTGTTGTTGACTGTGTGCTTGTCGAGGCTCCAGGTTTTGTGGCCCCTGCACTTGCCCCTGCCACCGGCTAAGAATATATTGTGTATACATTAAAAAACAAAATAAACACTGCGATATACTCAAAACACCAAATTAAAAAAACATAATTTATGACAGTGTTTTCATCATTAAAATGCCATGAGGAATAAAAAGATCTTAAGGTCAAATGCTCGAGTCTGAAAATTACTGGTTAAATGCAAATCAATGGGGATTAAATTTTTGTTTAGTTTCAAGAATAACGGGGATTTTGTCTAGTTTCAAGTTTAGGGATTTTTATTGCAGGAAAGTTAAAGGCCGGTACCGCAAAGCAGGCCCAGGCTTTGGCTTGCCCGACTTTAGATTACACGTGTATATTTAAAAGAAAATCAAATAAAAAACAATAAAATAATATATAGAATTCTATATATATCAATGAATTTTCAGTGGCAGTTCTAGTTGGGCGCGCCATTTTCAATGTAACCAAATGATAATAGGCGGGATATTCCGATAACGTACAATCGCAACTTTTAAGATTGAAAATAATCGACGAGTATTCCAAGTGAAAACGGAAGCAGTGCATGAAATACAAAATGACACCTATAAAACTGAAAACATTTTTTAACCAACTTCCCCGTTCATATCATAGGCTTTGCCTAATTGCAAATTAGTTATCTGGTTATAGATCTACAATAAAAATTTACACTAGGATGAAATTTTCTTAAAATGAACCAACTTTATCAAATGACAGAAAAAAAGGTGACAAAAAAGGATACCAATTGACCACGGCACGAGCTGATAAAAAAATTTTACGAGCTGACCACAGGACGAATTGATTTGAGATCGAAACGTCAGTGGGGCGAATCGTTATAAGATTTAGCACTTTAGACAATCGGTCCTGTATTTTACGGTAATGTTTGGATATTGAGACACTTTTGTTTTGAATAATTAACAAATAATCCGCCAGAACTATAAATGATTTATGTCATTTTAAGAAAAATACCTGAGGCTTTGATGTCATTTTTTCCGAAATGTTGTTGTTGTTGTGAATTGGTCTATCTTCTTCAATAAAGTGAAATGTTCGTACAACCTTAGAATAAAATATTTCTTAAAGGTCTTTTTACAAGTTGCTTAATTAATGACAGAATTAGAAGGAACACTTTTTGTTGTTTAATCATTCCCATCATGGCTTATTATGATTTAAGAATTCTTTTTTAATTCGAAACTAATTGAAGGCTGCTGCAGAAGCAAGTGACAGATGTCGCGCAACGTAGAAAAACACGCTGGCAGACTGAATAGATTGTGGTTGCAACGTTTAGATGAAGGTAATTCATAGTAATAGTAACCAAAAAAAAAATCTAACAGGATTATGATACACATACAAAAAGGGCATTATTTTTTTGCAACTAAACATCAGTTCGTCACAAGTCAACTCGACCCTATCGTCGGGTCATGTGTTTTGACGCTCATCTATTTTGACGCCTTTTTTGTTTTGACCAAACAAATGACGAAAACGTCCTCGTATGACGTCATAATTTGCTGACTGCATTGCAAGCATGTATTTACAAGGTATAACTAAAACATGCGGAAAGACAGAGACATTTCACTGAAAATGCTTCACCTTTATTATATCCCCGTACTGCCTCTTTTCGATCAGCTAACAGTTTTTTCTATAATAACTGACAGTGAAATTATAAAAATAAAATTTCTCTTACAATTCTGCAAATATAATCATTTCAGCTAATAAATGCAACAACTTTTTAAAATTTTACCTGAATTATTATTATGAATCAAGGACAAATCATTACTGACCCATTTTCTTGTTCTTCAAAATTTCACAACCACTTTTCAATCAATTAACAAAATATAAACTGTACCACATAAAAATTGTCATATGCCTTATTCTCATCGATTCGTGCCTTCTCATCGATTCGTGACCTAAATAATTGTGTGGTATAAATACTTCTGCAAGGGCATTCACCATCCGAAAACTACACAAGTTTTATTAGACACTCGATTTGACAATTCTATCCAATCAAAATGCGTAATTGAACAGGTGTAAATGACATTACCCTACAATCAGCTGGCGACCTAATTACTTTAAAATATTCGATATTAATGTTTTAATTTATCAAACACACTTACACTTAAGCCAAAAAAATATTCATTATGCTGTAAGAATTTACTTAAGACTTTGAAACATATATTGATCAGATCGGGCTGAAAATAACCATGCCGAACATTTAGTGGTGTGAGCACCTATAATTTGATGACGTCACAAGGGTGAATTGGATTTTCACGAATCGATGGGTAAGCGTCCAGCTGAGCAAGACAGTCCATGGTTGACATGTTCAGTTGCTCTAATCTTTGAGCGGTTTGTTTTTAGAAGTAATTTAAAGTTTGTGAACTTTTAGATAATGAATTTATTTAACAAATGCACTAATTGAACTGTATGTATGTCTGATATTTGTTGTGCAAGTGCAATTTTTCCAAATAAGAGTCACGAATCGACGAGAGAAAAGCATACAATGTTAAAATATAACCAGTTATGTATTTTGAAGAAATTTTGACAAACTCAACTTCAGATAAATGGTAATAAACAATTTTAACCTATTTATAATGCCATTTTTCGATCTTAATATCTATTTGCAGTAGTAAAGCTGTCACAATTGGGGTATGGATGTACATCTCAATGTGCATAACAGAAAAAGCCTGTTCTTGTGAAATTTTTAGGATCTTAGGGTCTATATGACCCCATTCTAGTGACAGCTTTCTGAAAAGTTATCAGAGAGAATGTTTTTCCTTGGTTAAGTGACTGTTACTTTACTGACGTATTACCTTCCAATTAAGAATTGTATGGTAAAATATGTACATATTAAAATTATAGCTTTTGAAGTGCAGTATACATTATGACTTAATGATATTGAAACAGTTGTCCAACTTAATATCTATTTCTGCAGACTGACAAAAAACTGAGTCTGTAAATCAATTATTTTTAGAAAATTATTGTGATTTGTAACTGGGTAAATAAAGGATTAGTGGAAAACACACATTTTACATATTTTGAACTAAAATACTGTTATTTTCTTTTTTAACACCATAATTGACATTGCTGCTGATAAATGTAGTCAAGGTAAATACAAGATGTGCTTACAGTTTGATTACATGACAAATAAGGTCAAAAATAAAGAATTTCTAGGGATGATTGAAAAGTGGTTGTGATTGAAAACTGGCAGTATGTGGATATGTACTGTATTTTTTCATTTTTTTACTAATGCAAATTCAATTGATGATTATGCAAGCCATAATTTTGCACATATAGCCTTTGAAAAATCTTGACCTGCCCTTTTCTGTTTCTATCCTCCATTTTAAAATGTCTTATGAGTGTCATGTGACCAAAACTTTGCAAAGTGTCCTTAATATTCACTGTAGCATAGGGTGTACAGCTTATATTGTTTGAAAACATTAATTGGTTTTTAATTGATACTGAGTAAAATTCATAATGGGTTAATTATTGTATATAAAGATAAAAAAAGAAAGAAAAAAAAATCATTTTTCAAATCAACATATACATATCTTTACAACCTCATTCATTTTAGATATATTTTTCAGCCCTTTAAGCCAAATACAGATGCTATTCATCAAGATAAATGGTAAATACATTCAATGTTAAAGAGACAGGTACACCTATTAAGACCACTGCCAGGGTGTATGACATTCCTAAATAATGGATAGTTTTATATGAAATAAATTATAATTTTAAGTTTTCACGATGTTGTTACATTGCAGGTTTGCTCATTTAAAAACTTCTCTTGCTGTTCATATTACATTACAGTGAAATATCCTTTTAAAATAACCACCCAATGAAAAGGCGTCATTTCATATGACTGTAAACAACAACGGATGCCTCCACGGTCTGTTTACTTAAGTACAAAACTTAACTGATTTTGAATTTTTAACAAACATAAAAATGGTTTGCAGAGATAAACAACATGCCATAGTAACTTTATATTGTATATTATTTAATGATCAAGTTCAATATAAAAAAATGCACTAGTTAAACAGCTTAAGGGCGTCAAAACTAATGACTCTAGGATATATATGTAAATATGTCTGGTGTGTTTTGAAACTTAACCTTAATATAAAAATTTTAAAAAGTATTCAGAGGATATATTAAAATTGATACAGGTTCGTTTTTTAGCTCGACTTTTCTATGAAAAGGGGAGCTATCCTACTCGCCCCGGCGTCGGCGTTGGCGTCACACCTTGGTTAAGTTTTTCGTACCACCCCACTTTATTTCAGAAGTATTACAAGTATGGCTTGAAACTTACCATACTTGTTCACCATCATAACCTCCATCTACAGACAAGAGTACATAACTCTGTCAAGGTTTTTGACAGAATTATGGCCCTTTTTTGACTTAGAAAGTGTATTGAGCTTGGTTAAGTTTTTTGTACCACCTCACTTTATTTCAAAACCATTGGAGGTATTGCTTTGAAACTGACCATACTTGTTTACCATCACGACCTTCATCAACAGACAAGAGGACATAACTCTGTCAAGGTTTTTGACAGAATTATGCCCCTTTTTGACTTAGAAAATACATTGAATATGGGTAAAATCCACTTATTGCCTTAACCCTTTGAGATATTGCTTTGAAACTTTTAATGCTATTTCACATCATTACCCCCATCTGTACGCAAGAGAAGGTAACTCTGTCAAGGATTTGTTTTAAAAATTAAGGCCTTTTATCGACTTAGAATCTTGGTTAAGTTTTTAGTACCAGTCCACTTTTTGACTGAACTGTTTGAGATATTAATTTGAAAGTTGGAATACTTGTTTACAATCATGATTCCCAAACATGTCCAGGAGAAGGTAATTCTGTCAAAGATTTTATTTGAATTATGGCCCTTAACTGTCAATGTTTTGTATTATAGGCAAGCACTAAAAAACTTAAAAAATCTAAAAAAATTCATTCCTATCCACTTGTTCACTTTACCATAAATTATGTCATAATAAAATAATTCTTCACTAAATATCTTAATGCTCATGGCCATTGTTCACTTTAAAAATACAGAGATTCTTGTATTGCCTTTTACTGCAAAAACTTTTTTTATTGGCAAGCAATAAAAAAGTCGAGCGCGCTGTCTTACGGACAGCTCTTGTTAATCTTCGTTCTTTGCATTAATTTAGTTTGTTTCTTTTAAAATTGATTTTTATTTGTTTGAGTCGTCAGACCATTTTTAGTTTGTTTCTTTTAAAATTGATTTTGTGTCGCCTCTAAGGAGTAGTGGCAACATATAGGGATCACTTCTCCGTCGTCTGTCTGTCCGTCTGTCTGTCCGTCCAAGCAAACATTTTGGGTATAGGGGCTATATAACAGTAAAGAGAACAAAAGAGAACAATAGGTTCATTCTGTGATCAAATGGTTTCGGGGCAAGAAACCCTTAAGAAAACAAAGAAAATAGCCCCTAAAGCCAAAATGTTGGAATGTCCGTCTGTCCGTCCGTCACAAAACTTGTCCGGACTACTCCTCATAAACTACTGGTGCAATTTCATCCAAACTTTACAGGAATGATCAGTATCAAGTCTAGTTGTGCATATTGTCAGCATTTTCCGGTTCAATGATTTTGTAAGAGTTATGGCCCTTTAATAATTTTTATTTTTAAAGTTTGTCAGGACTACTTCTCTTATACCACTAATGCAATTTCAATGAAACTTTACAGGATTGATCTGTAGCCCAAGTACTTGCGCATATTGCACGGGTTTTCCGGTTGAATGATTTTTGGCCGAGTTATGGCCCTTTGATAAAAAGGTGTTTTTTTCTGTGTGTTGCCAGATACACAAAAGCTTGTCCAAACTACTCCTCATAAACTACTGGTGCAATTTTATCCAAACTTTACAGGAATGATCAGTACCAAATCTAGTTGTGCACTGTCTGTCTGTCCGTCTGTCACAAAACTTGTCCCCACTACTCCTCATAAACTATTGGGGGCAATTTCATCCTAACTTTACAGGAATCATGTCGCCACTACTCCGATCACTTCTCCGTCTGTCACAAAACTTGTCCCAACATGAAATTGGCCATCATGAGGCGACACATGTGATAACAGATCGCCCATGTTATTTGTTTGAGTCGTCAGACCAAACAAATAATTGTAGCGAAATTTCAGACCCTGATAAACTTATTTGCAAAAACCGAAAGTAGTCTGAACTCCTCGAAGCGTTTACTTCCCTTTATATCTACAATAACGCCAAAAAATTAAGGGGAGATCAATGCGTAAAGGTAAAGATTGTCAGATGACAGGGGCATTAATTTTCAAGCCTTTACGGGAAAGAAAAAATAGTTCCCAATTGGTCGAAGATTTCTAATATTGTGTAATTCTTTACAGATATACATGCTTATATTAAACTCCATGATTATTATATACATCCATGTTAAACAACAGGTTTACCGTGAACAAAATATCTCGAAATTTATAAGGTTTACAAACCCTAATAAAAAATTTAGAATAATGTGGCTTTCTTTAGGTTGTTAACTTCCCCGCAGTTAAGAGGTTTACACAGTGACACTCGGTTAGGAAGCAAGAGGTCTGGAGTTCAAATCCAAGTTAAGGCAACTTATGTTGTTTTCTTTTGCTTTTTTTTTCTTTCTTTTTTTTTGTAAATTGTTTAAGCCAAATAAACATTACAATTAGCCTTATAGCCAATTTACTACAGTTACAACACAGGAAACAGCATTGGTGGCTCTATACAAAAACAAATTGGTTTATAATCTCAGAACCTTCACCTTTCTGACATTCTGAGACCCAAACAAAGTCGGCTCCATCTGTGCTTTGACTTTTTTATAAGTCATAGTCTACATTTCTTTTACCTTTATTGGAATAAATTTGCTATTTTTCCATTTGGGACATTTTTGTCTATGACCTTGTTAATTTGCCTTTGGGCTTTTTTGCCTGCCCCTGCCCCCCACCCCCCAGCTGGGCTCTAAATCTAATGTTAATCGGAAATACCCCAAAATCTTGGTGATTGCAAATCTCTGTTTCATGATAAAGTAACTATACAATTACAGTACTCATAATTCTATTTCAGAAAATGCAGAAAAGAATCCAATAAGACCAGGCCTGGTATGTATTGCTGATAATTCTTCAATCATTCTGCGAAACATTTTGGGGTTGACCAAAGTTTTAAAATAGAAATAATTTGCATTGTCACTATGATTCATGAGAAAACAAGAATGTAAATTTTAAAGGATCACTGATTCTAATATGTAGCTTAAAAAAAAGATTTGAAGAAGTTCTAAAGATTAAGTCATGAAACTAGTGACTAGAAATGTCATAGGTTCAGACAGAAGCAATCCAAAGATAGGTAATTTAATAAATCTATTTTATAGCAAGATAACAAGCTAACATTTTGGGGACAGCTCTTCTTTTTGGAGAAACTGATTGACACCTTTGCTCCTGTCCATACTGTTGGCTACCAAATTTTTTTCCTCAAGAGTTATGGACAGGTCCAAAAATTAGAGCCAGTGATTTTTTTTTTCCAATTTGATACATGTATGTTATTGTTTATTTCAGGGATCCTTACATACAGCTGAGCAGGTGAAAAAGTGGATGCCAAGTATTAAGAAAGATATTGATTTCTACTTGAAGGTAATATTGATAAGTATCATTTTGACTTTAATTTCCATTTATGTTAAAATGTTTAAGGTGACAACGGAGTCAATTATCACTGAAAATACCTAAAGTGAGATTTTTTGCTAATTAGATTTATCAACCTTTTCTGAACACATTCGTGATTTAATTTTGGGAGCAGTTAGTCCAAAAAATGTGTTTTTAAACGTTTTAAAACGGTACCTATACTATTTGTATCAGCTATTCGCGTAACCTGTCGATTATCGATAACGCTCCGCCCCCTGTTGAGGCATCAATGAGGGGAATCGGTAGTTCCATTATCCGTGAATTACAGGTCCATACTGATCATACTACTACCGTACATCTTTTATGAATATCTCAACATTTAGCCTTTTTGGCCAATGTACGTAACATAATGTATGAAACATAAATAATTAAGCATAGCGGCAAATTGCACGACCACGGGGTTGATTAAAAATGTAGTTGCTAAAATATCCATAATATGTGAAAATAATTTGTCTGTCCCGTTAATCTGATAGATATTACATTGAGTTGATAGACTTTTGTACGGATTCAAGGGCTTACTTTACATCCAACCTCGTTTTCTAACAATGTCAAGTAAAACAACAACAAAAACAGACAACATTTTTTATGTGAAGGCCTATATGACTTGTGGTAAGGTGTCCCTGACAAATTTCTAAACCATTTTAGATTGTCTAAGGATGATAATTTCTCTATCACGGATTTATATTACTTATATGTAATATAAATCCGTGTTCTCTATGAATAAAAAAAAGATATTAAAATATATTCTCAGTGAAAATAAATTGTTCGCCAGTAAATCGGACACAGTACTAATAAATCTGGGACAAAGTATGAAATTTATTGTCTATCCCGGTAGAAACTGGATCTTTATGCCGTGCATAGATGATATTCATAATAGAAGTCAAGAAGACCAGATCATGATGATCGAGTAATACCTTTTATTTCTATTAAAATATGTGAAGCATTATCAATTTGGTGGAAAAAATATATGATATATCCCGTTCTTATTTGTACATCTAAGACTGTCAGAAGCTCAGTTTTTTGTTATTTTATTTTATATCTTAACGGAATTTCATACACGAATACACAGGCAGAGTGACACTGGTATAATACAATAATAATGCTGATGATAATAATAATAAACTTCAAAAAGGAAACAATTAAATACCCCGCTAGCGGTGCGTAAGTGCGTTCCATTTACCCCCCACTGAGTGCCTCAAATTTTACCGATAGTCACGTGACATGTGCGACAGATACCAGACGGACAGTAAATCACGTTAAGAATTGAAGAAATTTCGGCTATAAACTGATATTAATCAGCAGCTTTTTAATTGATCAGATGTCACTGGGTCATAAAATGATGTTAGAGTATGTTACCGCATTTTGTGACCCTCTCTGGTGCGATATTTGTGTATTATGCAATTATTTAGCGTAAAACGTAGGGGCCCGAGAGAGAACAGCCGATTTATGACACTTCGTTTGATGCGGGTCAGACTAACTTTGAATCGGCATAACTTTTTTAATAATCAAGCAATTAACATGCGGTTTAAAGCACATGAAAGGCAATTCATTTACGGAGGGAACCGTGTCAGGGATTTTTGTTTGCTCAATCAGCGACTTAATTATCTTGAATTACGTAATATGTATGGTGAAAAAAGTCGCATAAAATGTTTGACGTTACGTAATATTTTTTTGAGAAAAGATAGAAAAAATTTGAGACACGGTTCCCCAGATAATATAAGTAAGGTTATTTTCCAAAAGTTTGATGACAAAAAAATAAAAAATGACGATTTAAAATTTTAGGATTTTTATTCAAAATCAATCATTTACAAAGCCATTTTTTTCAAATATGTTATTTTTTATGATGATCAACGACATTTAATGCACAAAGATTAACTGAATAACAATTATTACTAAAATAAATTGGTTTAAATGACATTTATGCGAGTACCACAGAAAGTGTCTGTTGTCACCTTAAAGCTATCTGATTATTCTCAGAGTATCTCTGATGAAATATTTAATAAAGATTACAATCAATAAAATTATGTTGTTTTCATAACCATCGTTTCTTGAAAGATTTGTAAGATACAAAATTTATGAAATTTGATATACATTGTACATGAATATGAATAGAATAAATGTTTCAAAAAAAAATATTCCACTGCTGTTTTAAGTAAGTTTGGCAATGATTTCATGCATCCCCCACTCCCTTTCAGTACTGATTTTTTTTCATTCTAGGTATTCAGTAGACATTTTAATCACAATATAAACAATAGTTTAAAAATCCACAGATAGCGAATATTCAGCTTTATATGCTTCAATGTCTGATATTAAAGAATATCCAGAATACAATTTATATAAAGCGCTAACAGATATTTTTTGTTCATTTTAGAAATAATTTCTACTTTCAGCAATCACAAGTCGGCTGTTATCCTGAGGGGAAAATCTCCGAGTTCTCTGAGAAGATTGAAAGTTTAACAAAGGAGTATAAGGCTTATCTACGTAAATACAGAACGCTTGGTGGAGATAGAGATAGTACACCCTGGTCTGATCAACCATACTTGAGAAAACACAAATTTACAGAAGGTAATTTTAATTCAATTACAGTAATCCCTGTATTAATTAAACTACAGTACAGTCATTCAGTCTGTATCTATATACAGACCATATATGGACCACATGAAAGAATACCTGGTCTGCCAAAGCTAACATTTTCTTTATCTCATTTTGATATGAAGTTAAGCCATAAATCATCTTATTGAGTTTTCATATTGGCGTATGAGCCGCGTCACGACAAAACCAACATAGTGCGTTTGCTACCAGCGTGGATCCAGACCAGCCTGTGCATCCGCCCAGTCTGATCAGGATCCATGCTATTCGCTGTCAGTTTCTCCACTTGTAATAGAGTTGGTAAGCGAACAGCATGGATCCTGATCAGACTGCGCAGATGCGCAGGCTGGTCTGGATCCATGCTAGTTGCAAACCCACTATGTTGGTTTTATCGTGACGCGGCTCATATATATTTGACTTCACATGCCAGTTACATTCTAATTTAAGTTATGTTTTATTCTTTAAAAAAAGGTGTTTACAAATTTGTACACATGCCGTTGCATTAAGATATTTTATGTAAAAGTGGCTACAGTCACTGTCATCTCTGTAGGATGATTCTGCCTAGCCTGGATTACTTTTTCCATGCTGATTCCTTATTGTGCTATGAGGGCAGATTGCTTGTTTAATATTGGTCTTAATGAAATTCTAATAACATCTTGTGTTAGATCATATATAGAGTTATTTGTTTACAAATTAATATGTTAAACAATGAACATGTATATTTCTGATTCAGATGCAGCATCAGAGTGTGATAAAGAACTCCCAAAAAAATCACCTAAAGTTTCAGGAAACCAGGATAAATCAGAAAAAAATGCATTTATTCCTATATCACTACCTATCATGGACAATGATGATTGTAGCGAAGATATTTATACATACAGCATCGTGAACATTGCAAAACCTGTGGAAATTGACATTGAAGAAAACAATCAGCCATTACAATTTAATTGGAACAAATATAAGGCTTTAGAATATCACAATGAAGGAGATGATAACAAATGTATAAGCTCTGAAAATCAAAATGATCATGAATCTAACAGTTGTCTGTGTGTGACAAATGATTCAAGCGGCTATTTAAAGTATTCAGAGAAGTGTCCTAATACATGTACAGACTGCTCTGGGGTTTGTCTGAAGAATGTGTGTAACTGTCCTGTTGGAAATCAGTTTCAAGTGATAGATGATGATGTACGTAGAAAACGTTGGAATGATAACCTATCAAATAATAAGATTCCATCAAAATCTGATGACTCTTTACAACTTCAAGTAAATTCAGGTCAAACTTCTGCAGGGCGAAGTAGTATTTTAAACAGTGTCAATTTACAGCATACAGAAATATTTTCTGAGAATAATTCAGCAAGTAAAAATGTGGGAAACATGCTTAATCTGCCATATTCAGACTCATCAAGTGAAGATGACACCTGAGAGTTTAACATATTCAATCTTGTCAATGCATTCTTATCTAGGCGGACAATTGGTTTGTTCACATTTTGTTAGTTTTAAAATGTTGCACCCGGGGAAAAAGT